CTAGGAGCTGCTCCGGGAATGGCCATTGGTTTTGTTTGGATGGTGAGCGAGGAGGACATCGGAACGTTCAGCGCCTTCTTTGGGTCTTTGTTTGGTGTGGCTTATGCCCAGGGAAAATTTAGGAGCATTCCAGTGGGAATACACGGAGCTTTCAATCTAACCATAAGCATTCTGGAACAGGAGAGGGGGGTTTCCATCACATCTGTTATAAATGACCCACTGGCATTCTTTCTCAAAGAGCAAATAATGTGCCATTCCTATCAGTTGATAGTGCTAATCTGGTTCCTTTCAACTGATAGGACAAATAAAGTTCACACTACCTCCTCTAGCTGCTTGTAAATGCTTCATACTTTCCATGAGTTATAATCGCTTTGTAAATCGTACAGGACAGGTAATGATCTAATCAGATGGGTAATTTTGTTATCAGTCAGAATTTATGAAACCTTCTTGTAGAAAGAAAGCCTTTTGTTGGCGGGTAACTGAAATGATGGATCAAAATGGCTTCCTTAAAATTAAAAGTAATATGTAATATATCATTTACATATAAAGAAGGTATTATATGGACAATTATTGTCATAATTACTACACTATGGGATTCAAGATCACTAATTAAAGTTTTTAAAAACAATACAATGCAATTACAAACTTATAAGCAAAGCTTATCTATCCATTTATGATACATGGTTTTCATAGAGAAACTAATTAAAGGTGGCCATATGTTAAGTACATATTGAAAGGCAGGCTCCTAATAGTTACCACAGTGAGCCCTTAGCCTGGTACTGATGACTCCCTAAACAGAATGACGCTCTTACTAATAGGTCTACACCAACTTCCATGGCAGTGCCAGTGCTGGTACAGAAATGACATTGCCTTCTATCTAAGCCAATTCCTACCAAGCCTTTACTCTGTTTTAAACTCTAAGGTGGCAGTGGGAGGAGGGGAGAGCTTTTACCGACATACAAGGTCAGGGTGATATGGCAAAGTAGATATTTTATTTGACACCAAGAATCCTGACTTGGGGTTCCATTTCTTCCATTGAGCAGACAAATTATTTTGGCTAAGTCCACAGATTCTTTGAACTCTTGGACACTCCTCCCATTAAAAGGTGGAAACTACTTCAACTCCCTGGAGGCGGGGGGAGCTGTATTTTCTACAGGCATGTTTTAACACATGCAGCAGAAGTGACGGCAGGTCTTCCGAAGCTCAGTCATAAAAGGCGATATGGGATTCCCCCCCCCTCCCCCTCCCAGATACCTCTGGATCCCTAAACACCATGCAAGACATCCAGCTACTCCAGAACTGTCATGTTGAAAAGACCATGAGAGGAGCCCACACAGATCAGACAGCAAGGCCCACTAACCCTCAGCTGGTCAAGACTTCCAGCTCCGGAGACAGCCTGTGAGTGAGGTGGGCAGAGGTCACCCAGCCCCTGAAACCCTGACCCAGACGGCTCTGGGAAGCCACTCTGGAGTTCCTGATCCACACAAGTAGTGAAAGGTAACTTTCGTTGCTGTAGTTTACTAAGCTTTAGGGTGATTTTTTTAAAATGCAGTCACAGGAACTATGATGGACTGTCAACTCCAGGGTGGGGGCAGGGGAGACCACAGGCTCTAACAAGGCAGTCTTTAGCATGGATGGGAAGAATTCACCAAGCACTAGGCAGAGGCTAGAAGAACCAGATGGCTATGGTCCCTGTCTGCTGGCATCAGGGCTATACAAGAAGGTCTTTGATGGAGGAGGAGAAAGATGCTGCTGCTGTTGGGAGCCATCGAGTTGTCGGTCCTGACCCAAAACTACTGCAGGAGTGTCCTGCGCCTCCCGCACAATGGTCCCTGGCCCTGAGCCCACTGGGGCAGCCACTGTGCCAGGTCATCTTCTTGTTGCGAGCCTTCCTATTTTCACTGCCTCGCTATTTACCAAGCATGCTATTTCCCCAGGGACTGGAGCAAGAGTAGAACAGAATTAAAGATCATGAAACCAAATGTACTGAGCTGACGGACATGATGGAAACCCCCTGGGACCCGCGGGCCACCTTTAAACCTGGAACTGAAGTCCCGCTTGGGACACAAGGCGAAAGGTGAACAGTAACACTTGTGAGGTGTGTGCTTCTCTTAAAAAGGGTTAATTATTCGAAGATGGGGTGAGTTCAGTTCCAGACCTGAAGGGGACTAAGGGTCATGGGGTCTCAGGGTGGGGGTGGGGTCCCACGAGCCCCTTTTAGCCTGGTCTCTTTCATGCCTGGGAGTTCTGTTCCACATGGTCTCGCATGCTACCTAGGACCTTCGAATGGGGTCCCTCTCAGAGCAGGAGGTGGTCGTAGCCAGGTACCACCTGGATTCAGGTTTGTGGATGCTGATATTTGCATGAGCCTTTGGTCCCACACAGGACTGACGGCTTCCACGTGTCTTGTTTTTTATAAAAATGTGTATACATTTTTAAATAGACAACTAATTTGCTCTGTAAACTTTCTCCCAACCCACAATAAAACGTTAAAAACAAAAAGAATGGAACAATTGACAAAAGAATGCAGCAAAACAAAGCACCTCCTGAAAAATCAGCTCTTTATTTCTAAACTGGGTGGCCTTCATGAGAATTCCCCACATTTGGGGTTAAAAGAAATAGGGGCATAAGGACGCTCAATGGGCCCATTTGAAGCCAGCGGCACAGCCAAAGGTAAAGAAAACAGCTGGGGACCTGGTCAGGTATTTCTAAAGAGACAGTGAGCACCACCGCGCACTGCCATTCTGCCTCACATCTTTCTCAAGAGGCTGTGCAGTCAATGCAGTTCAACTGCTTCCCCAGACACACCTTTGAATGACTCTTAAAAGGAGAACTACTCCTCGTAAAGCTACGACAAAAAGAGTTGGAGTCCGGCCAGACATCGGGCTTTGTGGACCAGAGAAGTGTAAACTGGGAATACCTAGTGTATCCTGGGATATCTGAACCAAAAATGATGCTCAGCATATGGCAAACAATGGCCTCTAGGCAAGATCCAGCCATGAATTCTTCATTCTGTACCACCCAGCCCTGCTTGCCACTCCTTACTCAGGGTTATCAAAACAGGACATTTCATTTAACAAGCTCTCGTTTCTAGTTCTAGCGCTTAGCTTCGTTTGGATCCCTGGAGATCAACAACCGTGGGCATGCATCCCCACCTATCCTCAATCACCTATGGTGACTAACAGCATCTCAGGTTAAACACAGCATGTATTTTCTATCCCCCCCAATATTTCCACTTCACCATTTACTTTACCTTCCTGGGACCCGTGGGCATTTGAGCATGTGTCCCATCTACTGGGCAGTTTCAAACTCTAAAACCCAGATGTTTCTTGACTACTACAAATTTCAAAGTGTTGGTGGTTTGGAAATTTAAGTAAATTTTGCCATCTGTGCCCTTTTAAATTACATATACAATGTTACAAGGTATTTTACAATCCATTTACCTTCAGCTGCCTCAGAAAAGGAAGTCTTCCTTGTTGATACCAGTGTGGTGTGGCATTATTAAACACTACCTATGAGGCTAAGTCGGCATGGACTGGACAGCCATGAGGGTTTTTCAATGCCGTGAGGGTAAGAGGTTACCGGTTGGGCTGCTGACAGCAAGGGCAGCAGTTAGAAATCACCAGCCGCTCCCCGTGAGAAAGAGGTGGCTTCTGTTTCCATAAAGATTTTCCAGGTTGGAATTGGACATCCCTTACAGAAGGGTTGCGGGAGGAGATGAACCACTCAGGGCGCAGTATAGCAGTGATGAAACACACAACTTTCCTCTAGTTCTTTAATGCTTCCTTCCCGCCCCCATCATGATCCCGATTCTACCTTACAAATCTGACTAGACCAGAGCATGTACATGGTACAGATAAGAGCTGGGAACACAGGGAATCCAGGAGAGATAAACCCCTCGGAGCCAATAATGAGAGTAGCCATACCACGAGAGTAAAGGGAAGGTAGGGGAGACTGGGGGAACCAATCATAATGATCTACACATAACCCCCTCCCTGGGGGATGGACAACAGAAAAGTGGGTCAAGGGAGACATTGGACAGTGTAAAACATGAAAAATTAATAATTCATAAATTATCAAGGGTTCATGAAGGAGGGAGGGGAGGGGTGGGAGGGGAGAAAAATGAGAAGCTGATACCAAAGGCTCAAGTAGAAAGAACATGTTTTTAAAATGATGGCAACAAATGTACAAATGTGTTTGACACAATGGATGTATGTATGGATTGTGATAAAATGATTAAAAAAGAAAAAGAAAAGAGAGAGACGATTTGCCAGTTCGGAAACCCACAGGAGCATTTCTACCCTGCCAAAAAGGTCACTGTGAGCAGGAAGGGGTTTGATGGCATTGAGATATACCAGGCTAAGTATTTCACATGTATATCTGGACATTACTATAGAAAAATTATTAACTGATCTCCATCTTGCAGGTGGGAAAACTGTGCCTTAGCGTAAGTAAGGGGACAAAGCTAGGACCCTAACATAAGACAGTTTGGTTCTGTGCCACTATAATCATCACTAATTTCATAGAAAATGCTATACCCCCGAAACCTAACTATCTAAAGCAATTAGAGACCCAGTAGGGGATGAACAGCAAGCCAATATCAGTGCCCACATTACCATGACAAACCCATAGGCAAACAAGTGGCGTAACGCCATGAAACACAGTTACTGAATATTAGAATATGATGTGTCCCTGAGCTATGTGGTGTATCTTAACAATCTTTAATACAAATGTTTAGACATGGGGCTAACATCCCAACTCAAGTTAATGTGAAAGGGTCAATTGTCAGTGCTGAAATTAGGATGGATAGAAATAGGAGAAATAAGAGAGCTATATGTTATAAAGTGAAGCAATGTAATTGCTCAACACAGAATATTTTCAAGGAGATTTCTAGTGGTGACTTAATTAATTAGGCTGTGAGAGCATTTGCTGAGATGTTAAGACCAGTAATTTCAGCTGTGATGTGTGCATGTGTGTGTTCAAAAAAGCAAACCACTCACCAACTCCAGACACGGTCTGTGGCCATGGGCAGCAGCATAATGTATGCTATTGTACCCTTCCTTGTCCCGGAGAGATGGGTCTGCATCGTTCTGAAGCAGAAATTCTAAACATCTACAAATAGAAAGACAGAATGTTATGTAGAAGACGCCTCTAGGCCAAAAGGAATAATTAAAGTAGAGTGCTTTATGAATTTCAATATTTCTTTGGAAATACTATAGCAATGAACTTTCATAAGCAGTATATTTATTCACATAGGCTTTACTTCAGCATAAAATGGGCATTCTAGAATTCAGGACATGCCTGAACAGGGCAAATAAAGTCCCTGCCCCCCGTATTGGGGCATAGCACCTGTCTGGCAGCAGGATTATTGAATAATAAGTTGTTCAAAAGACAATGATCTAGTTTTTAATATTTTCTGCTTTCTTTTCAATTAGGCTTTTTATTGTTTTACGTTATTAGTGTTAGTTTCTGCACATGAAATACAGAATGTCAATAGTGGCAGTGACTGGAGTAATGGTTCCTTGAAGGTTATGAGAGAGGAGTTGGGGGTAAATGGAGAGCTAGTAAGAAGTACAAAGATGAAGAAAATGTGATACAACCCTTCACGTGATTGGACTATTGAACTGTATGACATGTGAATTATAGGCCAATAAAATTGTTTTAAAAAACCCTTTCTGAGTAGTAGTTTTCCTGAAAAATCCACAGCCATTGGAAAGGTTAAAGAGAATTAAATTATTATTTTGAAACACTTTAGAACATTAGTATTATATCTATGTTAATAGAACATGCTTGCCAAACTGATCCATTTCATACCCAAATAAAAATTTTAGGGTTAAAAATTGGCATATATACCCATTTATATATACAAAAAAAAAATCTTCCAACAAAAGAAAAATCTATAGTTTAATCAAAAACCTTTAAATGACATTTACCTATCTTCTGGTAACTATAAAAGAATAAATCACTCGCACTGATGAAACACACAACCTTCCTCTAGTTCAGTGGTTCTCAAGCTTCCTAATGCCGTGACCCTTTCATACAGTTCCTCATGTTGTAGTGACCCCCAACCATAAAATTATTTTTGTTGCTACTTCATAACTGTCATTTTGCTATTGTTATGAATTAGGCAACCCGTGAAAGGGTTGTTCGACCCCCAAAGGGGTCACGACCCACAGGTTGAGAACTGTTGCTGTAGTTCTTTAATGCTTCCCCCCACACCCTCCCCACTCTCATGACCCCAACTCTATCTTACAAATCTGCTAGACCAGAACATGTACACTGGTACAGATAAGAGCTCGCAACACAGGGAATCCAGGACAGATCAACCCTCAGGACCAATAGGGGGAGCAGCGACACTAAGAGGGCAAAGGGTGGGGGGCGGAGTAAGTGGGAACCGATCACTATGATGGACTGCCCCCATCCCAGGGGGACAGACAGCAGAAAAGTGGGTGAAATGAGACAGCGGTCAATGTAAGACATGAAAAAAATACTTTCAAGGGGATATGGGGGAGGGAGGGGGGAAAATGAGGAGCGGATGCCAGGGGCTCAAGTGGAAAGAAAATGTTTTGGAAAAGATGATGACAACATATGTACGGAAGTGTTTGACACAATGGATATACGTACGGATCGTGATAAGAGCTGTAAGAGCCCCCAATAAAATGAAGTAAAAAACTGAATAAAAACCAAAAAATGGTGAAAGAATACAAAAAATACATAAATAAACCCCTCCTTCTTATTGGGTGCTTTTTGGGTCCATTCCAGCGCCCAGGCCCAGCACCCGTTTGCACAACAGGATGGAACTGTCCACGGCACCGGCCTCACAGTCGCTGGCTTGAGCGAGCCCACTATCGCCGTCATTGTGCCAATCGGTCTTATGGCGTCTCTTCTTCTCTGGCTCATTCTCTACTCAGCCTGATGCTCTCCTCTAGGAACTGGTCTCTCTCGGTAACGTGTCCACAGTACATGGGATGAGGTCTGGCCATCCTCAATTCTCAAGAGCTTTCCGGCTGTAATTCCCCCAAGACACAACCATTTGCTACGCTGGCAGTCCATGGTGTTGGCAATCGTCTTCACCAATACCATAACTCTTTTTTAAATTTTTTGTTATGAGTTGGGTGAGGCTTTACAGGGTCCATCGGTTTTCCACTTAAACAATCAGACATGGTTCGTGTCTTGATTTCAATGCATCTAGCCTCACTTATCCTACGTCATCCCTGGGTTTTCTGTTTCCACTCTTCCTTTCCCAACCCTTCTGCACTGTGTCCCTGGGTAAATGCAGCCCTTTTAGTTAAAAAAAAAATCTGAATCATTAATTATGCTAAGATGTACATATCACTCTAGTATTACTGTTCCACCTTATAGACCTGCCTATTGTTTGGCTGATAATTGAGGCACTGGAGTGAGTTCAGGTCCAGACTTGAAGAGCAGCGAAGGGGTTCTACCAGTAAGCCTGGTCGTTTTTATGGTTTTGAGGTTTGTTCTCTATTTTTCTCCCCTCTATTCAGGGCCTTCTAGGGTGGTCCCTTTCAGGACAGTTGGGTGAGGTAGCTGGCACCATGTGTATTTTTTCTGGTCTCAGGTCGTACAGGCTGATATTCATAGCCATTAGATTGTTTCCACGTGTTTTTCATTTTATTCATTCTTTCCTCCAGGCAGGGAGAGACCATTAGTTGTACTTTAGATGGCCACTCACAAGCTTTAAAAACCCCAGTTGCTACTCCCCAAAGTGGGGTGTAAAAACTTGTCTTTGGGTTCTGTTATGTCAGTTGGCCTTGTTGTCTCTTGAGATTTTGGTCCAGAGTCCCCAAGTCCATCAGGGTGTTTGATTGTTTGATTATATCTAAGAAGTGTCCATTCTTTCACCCCCAGTATGTTCCACCACATTCAGGGATATATTTGCAGCACAGATAAATACACATGTAGAAATATGCCCTGTGAAGCCTAGATATTCATGGGTGTATCCCACACACATTCAGCCTGTATGTCTATCCATGTATCTTTTCATAGATCATTGTTATTGCAGGATTGGTGACACCATAATTCAAATGCATCAATGTTTCCTCGGTCTCCATTATTAATTCTTCAGCTTCTACATGTGTATGGGAAGACTGAATATACTGTGGCTTGTCAAGTGCACCTTGGTCCTGATGGTGATCTTTGCTTCTGAACTCTTGAAAGAGGTCTTTTGCAGCTGATTTGCCCATTGCTATACATCGTTTGATTTCCTAACTTTTGACTGTTACTTCCATGGGTAAATCACTCATAGAGATAATGAAAACAGATACTTTAGTTTCCAGAAATACTGATGAAAGTCAAAATGTTAAACCAAATAGCTCTCTGTCCCATAATTCATGCATAAAATGTTCCATAGTAAATCGAGCTGTTACTGGAAGCCTGTTATGCTGTCTCTGGCGATTTGCACTTATAAGGAAGTCTTTTTTCTTTAATCTCGATTATTAAATGCTCATGGACAGGATCCCAAGTGTGACTCAATTCCAACCAAATCCATCCTTTAAATAAATCATTCAACAGGAATAGTGTTGTAGGGACACACTGCCAACTTCTCAACAAATTGGTTCTAAAAGTTGATAACTAGGTCTTGTGGAATTACAACCACTGTAACTGTCCCTAAAGAGTATAATAGCTGAACTGTACAATCAATAAGGAGCCCTGATGGTGATGTGAATTAGGCATTGGGTCGCTGCGATGGCAGTTCAAACCCACCAGCTACACCATGGAGAAAAGATGAGGCTGTCTGCTCTTATAAAAGTTGACAGCCTCAGACATTTCATAGAGGTTACCACGAATTGAAATCAACTCAATGGCCGTGGGTGTCACCTGGTTTCCTACTACCAGCAGTGCGGTTAGAAATAACCACCAAACTCAAACTAAACCAATTACCAATGAGTCGACTCCAACTCCTGGAGTAGAACTCCCCTCTGTGTGTATTTCCAGGACTAGGTCTTTATGGAAACAGATGACCATGGAGCTGCTGATAGGCTTGAACTGCTGACCTTTCAGGTAGCTACTGAGGGTTTTACCCACTGTGCCACCAGGGCTCCAGGAAACAGCAGTACTAAGCAGTTTTAAGAGTCTCTACATTGTTTCTAAGGGAAAATGGAGTTCATGTTTTAACTGAGAAGACCCATCTGCTCTTGTTCCAGGGCCCTAACTAGCCATCTGGCACCTACGTTGTAAACTGCCAGAAGTGCATTGGGTCAGGGGGACGCGTGGAGGAGCCGGAAGCCTTTCTTCGCATGCAAGTGCTCTCAGACTCAAAGCAAGCTCGCAGTTCTGCTGCAGAAGGGATCATCTGTTGAGATGGCTTACATTTTTATATTCTTTTCATTTTCTTCTTTTAAATGTGGGTATATTACAGGGAAACCTTGGTGATTCTGCTTTCTGCACAACTGAGGTTCCTAGCCCCACACTGGCCATGTCCCATAACCAGGCCAGAAGCACCCTCTCTAACTCACCCCTCCCACAGGTTGGGCACAGGAAAAGCCCAGTGGGAGGTCGGAAGAGCCTGGACTGGACAGGGAGCATTTGGGTCATGGAAGGAAAACACTTCCTGCAACAAGTGTAGACAGTGCCTGGGTGCAAACAGCATGGTTTCAGGAGGAGTGATGGCACCCGGGTGGGCGGAAACTCATGGTGTCATCCCCTCCCCATTCGTAGGCCTCCTCCCACATCAGAACCCTTAGCTATGCTTACTGTCCGCTTCGATCATGGAGTAATATGTGATAAATAGAGTTGTAAACTGCTTAAATCTAATTCCTTCTTGATTCTATGACCATGGACCACAAAACTCTTTTGTGAAAACTTTCTACATGGGATATGTGATTAGTAACTAAGTGCAATTCCTATTAAAAAAATTCTTATCCCTCTTCTAGTTCCTGCTTCATTCCAAAAAAGTGATTGATCTAAGTTCACAAACAACTAATGACTATAATATTTAAGCAAGACACCAGAAAATTTGACAAGACCAGCAATTACAACAACACTGGCGGCAACAAAGACCATAGCAATGAGTGCTGTCAGTGTGTGGAGACAAACCAGTGTGATTCAAGCATCTTCACAAGGCGCAGTGCTGACAGCTCTGACTGGTACAAGTAAGAAGGTTCAGAGAGTCAATCAGCATAGTGTTTTAGCTTTGCAGGGGTGGGGGTGGGTGGGGAATCTCAGCTGTGAATAAAGCATGAAAAATGTTTTGTTGTTAGATCTAAGTACAGGAAAATTTTTATTTAAAAAATAATAAATTTCTGCTGAAACTACACAATTTTTTTTTAAGTTTTAGAATTTTATTGAATGCCCTTTATCTGGATGAGAAATTTCTGATGTTTTTGTTTGTTTGTTTTTATTACTAAATCATTATATTGGGGCTCTTACAGCTCTTATAAAAATCCATACGTCAATTGTATCAAATACATCTGGTCGTATGTTGCCATCATCATTTTCAAAACATTTCATTCTCCTTGAGCCCTTGGTATCAGCTACTTTTTGTTCCCACCCTCCATCCTCGTGGACCCCTGGTATAAATTAGTATCACTTTCATATCTTATACTGTCCACTGTCTCCCTTCACTCATGTTTCTGTTGTTTGTCTCCCTGGGGGGGTGGGGTTATATACTGATCATTCTACTTGGTTCCCCATTGTTCCCCTCCCCCCAAATTCCCCCTACACTTACGGTATCGCTACTCCCATTATTGTTCCTGAGGGGATTATCTGTCCTGGATTCTGTGTGTCAAGACCTCTTATCTGTACCAGTGTACGTGTTCCGGTCTAGTGGATTTGTAAGGTAGAACTGGGGTCATGATAGTGGGGAGGAAAAAGCACTAAAGAACTAGAGGAATGTTGTGTGGTCCCTAGGTGCTATGCTGCACCTTGGCTGTCTTGTTCTTTCCTTGTGACCCTTCTGTGAGGGAATGTCCAATTGTCTACAGATGGGCATTGGGTCTCCACTCTGACCCCCATCATTTGCATCAATATATTTGTTTGGGGTCTTCTGATGCCTGATACCTGATCCTGTCAACATCTCGTGATCACACAGGCTGGTTGCACATTTTTTAAAAAAGAAATTGACCTCCCTCTGATCATGCCACTGTTGTGCCTCACCTGACAGTCCCCTAGTGATGCCACAGGCAAACAATGTAAGCATGCGTTGCTAAAAGAAACGGTAGAAGTTGGAGCCCAACCAACTGCACCTTGGAAGGAAGGCCTGGCAATCACTTCTGAAACACAGCCCGTGATTGAATGCCCTTTGGAGCAGGCTTCTACTCTGAAACACAGCCCGTGATTGAATGCCCTTTGGAGCAGGCTTCTACTCTGAAACACAGGGGTCACCGTGAACTGGCATCGTCTTGATGGCAACTGGTTTGCTTGGTAACTGGACAAAAGAGTGAACTAGTTAAAGAGGGGTAGGCAAGCTCTTAGAGAATTGGGTACCACAAGGACAGGGCACCAAGCATGGGCACCAGTTTGTTCATGTTCTTAACTTTTCAACAGTTACTGAACATTAGCTTTGTGCCAACCACCGCACTGGACAGTGTGTGCGTCTCACTGTGACTTGGAGTACAGGGGGCACTCAAGGAGGATAAGGCATTAGATCGGTCCAATGCATCAGCTCCCGAGAGGACGGCCATTACTCCAGCCCCATCTCAGCAGTAGCTAGGTCTCATCGGAAGCCAGGGAGAAGCACACGGGGTGAGGCAGGGTGGGAGCAGGGGACGACTAGGAAGTTGATGATAGGGGAGCGGAATACAAATGGTGCAATTCACATGGAAATCTCAACACTTTTATTTATGCTGTTGTTTACTGTCAAGTCAATTCTAATTAATTCATAGTGACCCTATATGGCACATAGGACTACTCCAGAGGGTTTCCTGGGCTGTCATTGTTATGGGTGCAGAGCTGTTGGGAGGGTACAAATATCTGCATTCTGGTTAAACCCAATGTGACTCCCTTTATTTATTCCCACCCACTACCATTGAGTCAATACCCACTCACAGCTACACTACAGAATAGAGCAGGCCTGCTCCACGGAGCTACTAAGGCTATAAATCTTGATGAGAGCAGCACGGCATCATTTCTCTCCCACGGAGCAGCGGGTGAGTTCAAACAGCCAACCTTACAGTTAGCGGTCTGTGGCAGTTACATAATCTGTTGTCAATTTCAGACTATCAAGCGCGAAGGGGTGGAGTTTAGCCTGTCAATCAGATCGCAGCTTGATGACCTCATTTGGAAGTGCTAAGGAGATAAATAGCTCTCTGGAGGCGGGATACACATTCACTCCCTGGAAAACATTCCACATGGAGCTACTGGAGCTGCAGGAGCCACACAGAGACCCCTGCCAGCACTGACATGCTTACACTGCCACTGGATCCACAAGTCTTTCCACCCACTGGCCTGTGATCTTCCTGTATTCGGCATATGTCTCGTGAGTCTGAAGAGGAATTTATAGATTGGTATTGGACATGACTACTATCAGACTTACGCACTTGATCTGGACTGGACTGGGATGTTTTCTTAATGTGCAATTGCTCTTTATATAAGTTCTTTCCTATACTCATGTGAGCGTCTCCCTGAATTTGTTCCTCTAGTCCACCTGGACTAACACACAGTCTAAATGCTTAATCTGTTGTGCCACCAGGGATCTTTTATTTCGACTCAAAAAACAAGCCCACAAGTTGACTCTGACTCATAGCAAACCTATATATAGAGTTTCTAAGATTATAAGTCTTTGGGGGAGCAGTTTGCTTCTTTTTTTTCCTACAGAGCAGCTGGTGGGTTTGAATTGCTGACCTTGCAGCTACCAACCTAATACTTAACTCACTATACCACCTGGTCTCCTATCCTTAATTTTAAAAGTATATTTTTAAGCTCTTTAATCATGACATTTTTGACAGTTTTATTGGCAGTTAATCCACATAGCATATAATGCAATAGTTCAATCATATCAAGATGTTATATAATCATTACCACAATCAATTTTAGAATACTTTCTTACCCTCTCCCCCATGGTTAAATCGCTTTTAAAGTGAGTTGTGTAATCACCATCAGTTTTAGTGCTCCCTCCCCCCTCCCACATTCCTATCCTTTATTTATAACCAAAGGGGAGGGGGACCTACAGCCATCAAGTCCATTGTGACACATAGCAATCCTTTGGGACAGAGTGGAACTGCCTGGGGGGCGGGGTGGGGTGGGGTTATGAAGTGGTCAAAGATTTTATGGGAGCAGAAAGCCTCATTTTTCTCCTGCAGGGTGGCCGGTGAGTTTGAACTGGTGGCCTTGGGGTTAGCATCCCAATGCATAGCCCACTGTGTCACCAGGGTTCTTTTATAAGAGTTGTTAAATGGTTTGCTCCAGGTCATGAAAGACTAGCCTATAAAATGACTACATCCCTTCAGGCACAAGATGCACGGCACAAACAGAAATGGTATTTAAGAAACTTGGTCCTAAAATCCACTGGCCAAACACAGTGGTGGTTGCAGCAAAGCAGGCAATTTCAGAAAGAGCTGCCGATGTGAAAACCAATCAAACCAAATGATGTCTTACAAGGATAGTCTCTTCTTAATTCAACATTGCTACCTAAAAATTCCAAGCGAAACCCCACGAGAGCCGGCGGGCCGCGTGGTGCCTCAGGGAGCAGACAGCCGTCAGAAATGACCCCTGGTCCTTCCACTGAGGAGACACTTACAGTGCAGCAGCCTTTTCCTTCCGTTCCCTGGCTTGCTCAAGTTCTTCTGAATTTTCATGGGTGTTTCCTAAGATGGTCTTACTTCTCAGCATATGGGATAGAAAAGAGATGCAATTAATTTTTTTTAAATGACACTGTTGTTCATGGTTTGGGTGCAATTTATATCCCAATTATTTTCACCCCAACCCCAAAATGAAATAAAATAAACACTCTTGATTTTCATCCAGGGTTGGCATGGTTTTCGCCAAGGTCATCCAGTAAATCTATTCCAAAGGAATCTAATTAGGGGTCTGACTCTACTAAAGGTAGGCAAGACTGATCCATCAATCTGCTCATCTTTCCATAAAGATCCTACACAAGACTGATCCATCAATCTGCCCATCTTTCCATAAAGACCCTACACTACCAGGGAAAAATGGGAACACCCTTGCGCACACTTGCCCAACTCCCACCACGGTCCTAGCAGCATCCCCGAGATGAGGTTCCAATAACCCCTCATCTGCCAAGGCTAGGCTCCCAAGCCAAGAATCCCTTGCAGCTCTTTGCAAATGCAGTATGCTTACTCTCCTCCTTCTCCCACTTCATCCCAAGGGAATAGCCCAGGGCCTGTCACACGGCAAACACATAACCAACATGGCTACGGCCTTCTGAGACGTACACCTGACTGGGTGGTGGTATAGAAACAGGAAGAGAAAAACAAGCAGTCTTTTTTCAAATGATGGATCATAATCCATGGCTGAATTTTGAAATCAATTTAGTGGGCTGCAATCGACCATCCTGTAGTATTGTTTTGAAACATCACACATCCTGAGATGTTTCATAAAATTTTCCTTTCAGTGTTACACACTCATCCGTAACACACCTAAGTGTCAGTACATAAGACAGATTTCTTGCTGTGGGTCGCCATCTAAAACGCTTAAAAACCAGAGCTGCCGTGTGGGATGAGCGGTTAGCACTGACCCAGACTCAATTCGGAGGCACAGGGCAGAGAATAAATCAATGGCTCTCGAAAGGGGGTCATCAAAGAGTATTCCCACAACGGAGGCCGTCACCCTTCAGCCTGGGAGAAGAATCTCACAAACAATGAGCACTTCTCACCAGGTTTCCTCCCTGAACTGGCTCACTTTGTTCTGTTTTCCTTTTTAGCCACCTGGAGTTCAAATACTTCCAGAGACATCGACTTCCTCCCTCCCCGCTGCGCCCGGGGTTCTGAGCAGCAGCGCCTTCGTTTACACGCGCAGATACTGCATCGAAGGCTGGGAGCCTGTGCAGAGGAGGGTAGGGTCGGCTTGTGGTGTATGGATTAACACATGGAAGTTTGGCAGCACACGAAGCACTGAAGTGGTGATAACGAAAACTTCGGGGAGTGTCGAAACGAATTACAACAGACTTGAACAAACTGAAAACCAGGGCTTGATGGTCCTACTTGGCATTCCACCCACAAAACAGAGAAGTAATTGTGCAGTGACATGTAATAATCAGAGAGGGAGAGACGGACGGGAACTGGGGGGTTAGAGATGAGGCAATCCGACTCCCTTGGCTCTGGGTGAAAGAGAATCTTCTTATCACTTTCCATGAGGTAGTAGGAAAAGAATCTGGAGCCCCTCTCCCAGCCCCCCGCCCGACCCCCGGGGAAGCCTGAGCAGGCTGCACTTACTTTCTATCCATGTCTGACGCAGCAGCATAGTGCAAAGCTGTCCGACCCCAGTCGTCCGTTTCATTAACATTGGCCCCTGTGGTCACTAATGTCTCGATACAGTGGAAATGACAATTCGCAGCTGCATAGTGCAGAGGGGTCCTGGAAAACAAACAGCCGTTGATTATTCTTTCAGTCTGAAAAACAGACGCACCACAGTCCTACGGTCCACGGCTCTTCTGCTCTGAGAGGGCAAGTGCCTTTCGGAGCTGGAGCCACACTGGGAACTGTGGCAACAAGGTCATCTACTCTCAGATACAGCCGTCTGCTCCACTCCTGGTGCCCATCCTGGTTCAGGCCTCCACCAAGGCTGACGTGGACCACTGCAAGCGCATCTCTTGTTGCCTCCTTTGCTCGAATCAATTTCCAGTTAATACAAATAGCACATTGGGGTTTCTAACATACCCACCCAAACCAAGCCCACTGCTGATGTGTCGGTTCTATTTCGTGGCAATCCTACAAGGCACAGAACTGCCCCACTGGGTTGCCAAGGCTGAAATCTCTATGGAAGGAAGCTGCCAAATCTTTCTCTCCCAGGGTTGGGGGTGGGCTCAAGCCAGGGACAATTCGGTTAGCAACTGAGCGCTTTAACCAATATGCCACAAGGGCTCATTTCCTAAGGCACAGTCCCTGAACAAAGCCTTGATTCCTTTGGAATTAAAGACCTCCTCCAGCTGTTCCCAATCATTTAAAAGCACTCTCCCCAGATGTACCCGATGACCACAGCCTGACTCTCTGAGGTTTCCCAGTTAAGTCCACACTTCTTGCCCCTTTGCCATACTGCTTGCTCCCCCCACAGTGCACTTTCCTGACCATGAAAATGCAACTCATTTTAAGTTTTGAAGGTCCTTCCTCCTGAGGTTGTGCAGCTCTTTCCTAGGTCTCTTCTGGGCTCATGGTCACACACTCCAGGACCGGTGATCTGTCTCATCTTCCCCACTGCACCAGACACCCGCTCCCAGCGGACAGACAAACCCAACCAAACTCACTGCCATCCATGCCGACTCACAGGGACCCTGTGAGACAGGGTGGAACTGCCCCTGTGGGTTTCAGACACGATCATTCTTTACGGGGGTAGATCCTGCAGGCAGCAGCCCAACGTGGAACCAAGACACCACCGGGACTTCCTGGGAGGCCTGGGATACAGGGGAGCGGGATACAGGGGAGTGGGAGAACACGTGGGCAGAATCGCAAGTCTGGTCTGGGCACATCTGCAGGTTGGTCAAACCGTGTCCCCTCTCTGGGTCTGGGGTTCCTCCTCCTCGTTTTACTAAGGACACCTGTGGGTGGCTCTCCTCTGAGGCCTCTCGGAGGTCTCCATCTCCCTGGAATTGTATAAATCGTTTCTGTGGCCAAGCCTTTCACCTGAGGGAGTTAATAGACACTCCCTTCCTCAGGACTCCCACCTCAGACTGACTGAGAGAAAGCAAGTGAATAATACTCAGAACACACGAGAACCTTGGAAAGGGGAGGCATGGGAAAAAAACCAAAGGCAATTTGCTTTATATCCCTGATTTTTAAGTTCTCACCTATGTTAGTTTTTTCCTGGTGTGCCTAACCAATATTCAGGGTCAGCACTCACCCAATGGCAACATTTATTTACTCAAGTATTTTTGAATACATAAACAGTCACGCTAAAAATAAAGGCACTTTATTTCAAGAATCATTCATTTCTCACTTCTCAAGTATATATTTTATAGTCAATTTATGGGCTCTATTATTAGTTGCTTTTGCCCTCTTTAGTCCAGAAGGAGGAAATTATAACTACCTATTGCACTGCTGGGACTTTAGTTAATTGGACTGGAAATTTTTAGGTGTCAACCATAAGACAGGGCCCAGAGGGAAAGAGACCTGTCCTTATCCTCAGAAGAATCGAGGTCACACGGGGAGAGGGAAATCGAGAGAGCCCTAGAACTGCCAGTGGTGAGCGTCGCAGTATCAGAATGGGTGTCGGGGAAGCAGAGACACACAGTCCCCACCACAGTGTGAGGGGAAATTGGACAGGCATCTGGAAGAGCAGTAGTGAGTACTAATTGCCTTAAGTCACTAGGAGAAGAAACCTCTGGGAATGCCAGAAATCTAGCGTGTCAGTAGATAGGAGGATTGGAGAATACTATGAGGTAAAACATAGAAAAACAGGATTAAAAGATAATGAAAAGTTTCCATGAGCCTTTTTGAAGTTCCCTAGTCTCTATGCACACGTATAAGTACACACGTGCCAGTTAGTCTCGTGTCTTATTCAACTATGCAGAGGATCAATAAGGTAAGAAAAGAATCTATGGCCCATCCCAATAGACAAAGGGGCTACTAAGTATATGTGGTCAGCACTCACCCAACATATGTTGCGGCTGGCTGCTAACCACATGGTCAGTGGTTCAAATCTATGGTTTTATATATATATAAATCTTATATATCAATACCTATAATGTATATAAAGATTATATTTATATATAAATTAAGCATGTCCAAAAATGTATCCCAAGAGGAAATGTTCCATAATATAACAAAATGCTCCAGGTGTTGCCAGATTCTGGGTTGCGAGAGAGTTCTATTGTGCTGCGGCATGACTTTTCAGAACGATGTCCATGCAGGAGGTTGCACAATGGAAAGACTAGAAACAACAGCTCTTCCTAATCAGTGGCTGGGAGAGGAGCTGCGGCCCTGTGCTGGTGCCTGCTTTGTTGGTGTTTGGCTACAAGAAGGAATTTCCATCTGGGCATGGACTCTTCCCAGCTAGTTTCCCTGTTTAGCCATTCAATGTCACATGGTTTCCAGATGCACTGCACCCCACTCATTCATGTAGGCACCGGAAGCAGAGCTCCCTCGTTACATACCTCCCACACTGGTCCTTTTTATGGAAATCTGCGCCGCTGCTTTGCAAGAGTTTTATACATTCCACATTACTGGAAAGACAGGGGAAACGTCATTAAGATGGTGAAGGTCGGTTGCTTGGCGATCCTCAGAAAGGACTGTTTCCTACAGCGTGCACGCCAACATGACATTGTAACGCTCGCTCGGTCTGAAGTCTGCTAACAAAACTATGGCCTAAACATTTTAGGTTGATGCCACATCTTCAAGATCTAAAGAGTTTAAGTTTTCTATTCAAAAGTCAGTGTGGAGCTTGATGGGACATTTTCCATTCGGTGAGGGAGGATTATGGCATGATGATCGCATGAGTAAGCAGCTCAGTGTGGATTTCATGGCTTATCCTAAAATTCCTTTTCAAAACCCTCAAGAGTTCATGAAACAACCACTTACACCTGTAATAATTCCATGTCACCTTTAAACAGCGACCTGTCGTGGATACGCGTTACCTGATACCGCAGCAGAATCAATTCACCATGATAACCATTTTCAGCCCAGACACTCCTTAATGGAAAATAAAATAGCTTTGTCTCCTGTCTTGGTAATCTGGATAAATAAATGTGCTGAAAATGATGCATGAAGCACAGTGATCTCCCAAAGCTTCTTTGTCATTTGCAGATGCAATACATCACGTGTAGCAGGGAGAGGAGGGAGACCCGCTGAAGTGAATTTTCCTGTGGAAGGGCACGTTGCTAAACATTAATTCTAATAAGAGTTTCAGACACGGACCGGAATGATGTGTTGCCACTTTCTATAGACGGCTGATATATTTTTGAAATGTGGGCATGAAAAAAATGATAATCAGCCATTACTTTTCTAAATTTGGGAAGCTAAGGGCGGGGGTGGGGTGTGGGGTGAGGGGCTAGAATTTATTATTTTGTGGCAATTTAAATAAGAAAAAACTTTCATTAGAAAAAGACACCTTTTCCTTAACCCAAACTTGCTCTTTAGAATCACCTAGACCAGAGAACTAGGTGTTTCAGTCATAAAACAAAAGAACTTTCTAAGACAACTACATATTGATGAAACATGTCCAGTTGATACAAAACATCCATCTCTTAGTGATGTCAAGGTTCAAAGATAGAGGCCAACCCACATTGAGTGGCTCATGAAGTTCAAATAAATTGAGGGTGTGCGGAGGCTCTATTAAAAATACAAAACTAAACTTGTTTTTTAATGAAAACAAAACAAGGTAGGAGAATTTGAAGAGACTCAGGAAAGGAAGGGGCCGTAAAGTTCCACATGGTTCTATCTCTGCTACATAGGTGACACGCCTTTGGTAATCCATAGAGGACAAAGAGAGGAGCTTTGTTGTTCCTTACAGAACAGAAAAGCCACGCAGCACCAATACCATACCCAAACAAGGTCACCAAGACAGGCCATGTTTGGTCAACAGGAGGGCATATCTCAACAATTTATTGATCAGATCATCAACCTAAACCCTGATATGAGAAAGCGACTATCTCATGAAGAATTCCTTTGCAAGTTTTTGAAAAGAATGTAAAATTTAAATGACTTCTCTCCTCTCCCGTGGGTCCTATTTTGATCTCTGTTTCACATTTAATTATCATAAAGACTTTCAAAATCAGTTTTAAAATATGGGCAGAAAGGTTAGGAAATGAAGGTGAATGAATTCATTCCTGGATTCCCTTGATTGTTACTCATCTCCCAGCAAACAAAGAGGACAAGACCTCACGTTCTTTCCTCTTGTTGGAGGGAGTACTATGTCCTATTCAATATAACCGACTGGCTACAATTTTTAAAGAAAAGGGGAAAAAATGCTATGAGATAATTTTTCTTTGGAAATGTAAAATCCAAGGAATCTGGGAATCCAATATGGTGACATTTGGTATTGCTGGAAATGATTCTTACCCATTTTGCTAAGGAAATTGCCTCCGATTCACAGACAACTTCAATCAGTGAAGAATAATTAGTAATTAAGTCATGAAATAGCTGAAATGGCCAACTACTCACCCTCCTGCAGCAGCAGCATGAAGGCACGTTCTTCCAAATTTATCTGGGGTGTCTATTTCAAAGCCTGCAGACAGCACGTGCTCATTACTAAACAAGGATACTATGCTATACTTTTGTCCTAGTTAAACCACAAGAAACATTGCAGAGACAGAAAAATCCGTTAGTAGGAAAGCCAGAATGCAAGCAAACTGTAGTCAGAAAGAGGTTGTCATGGAAACGAGCAGTAACTACTCAAGCTTGGCAATTTTATAGGAAGAGCCGTGAAGTCAAGAAGAATTTATTTTCACATTCAGCCCTGGGTGAACCACAGCCCCATTTTTCAATCACAGGACAGAAATTTATGAAACCAATTTGAGATAAGTGGGGCCACAAACAGTCCGACAGAACACAAAGAGGTAGCATGGAAGGCAGATGGGGGATCACAACATGCTAGACATAGACATATTCTAATGTGGACGCCTTGCTCTGGGTTGGTTTAAGATTTAGCAAACATGCTTTCATGCGGGGAGTATTTTTAAACATGCCCCAAGCAGCATCCGCCACAGGTAACAGGCTTAGAGGGGAAAGTGCCTCAGGGCTATATATCTGATGAGTTAATTCATAAACCGTCTTTGCCTGCAGACCAGTATCACGTTTGAAAGCTTAGAAACTTCTTAATATAGAGAGGTTGGCAGAAGTGGTGATAAGAAAGATTAGCAAAGCTCCAAACCAGAAAGCATTTCTTAGTTCTACATAACCCCACCATAGAAAAATAAATTAAACATCGTTTAATTTCTATATTGATTTTTTTCAGAGCTCACAGAGTGGGGTAGTAACACATTTTCTACCATTAAATGTGGGGATTTGGCCTTCTTATTTTGGGCAAAAATACTTTGTGTTAAGGCACCGTTTTAAACCTCGGAGCTGTCTTTTCCTACCATGATTAGCTTCTAGTAAGCTGTGGCTAGCCCTCCCTCTCTCCCACCTGGGATCACTCAAGCTTTAACTTGAAAAACAGAACCGACTCTCCCTCCAGGGAAGAATAGACCCTCTCCTCACTTACCAACATGGTGACATTCCAAAGACCAGGCCATTACGTAAACAGTGGCCTAATGCAAAAACCATGGAAGATGACCACGTCAGGTCACAAAGTGGAGGATGACGACATCCTTACATGGTTACATAATTCCCAACCCACTGAACATCATGGTCCAGCCACGCGGGGACAACGTTAACATTACTCAGCATGCCTGTCACCCCAGCATTCACTACTACTGGATGTGCATCATGAAGGCAGGGAAGAAAAAAAATCAGTCTACTGACTTCCTATTAGCATCAATGGGAAATGTTGGGTTATGAAGTAGTGGTTAAGTGAGGAGAAGGTGTACTGACATGTGAACATCACCCACACCAGGGGCCACCGGGAGTTGTCTCATGCAGTTAGCTGTGGTACATACTTTCTCCTGTCTAGTCAGGTGATGACATAAAGCACAGGCAGCCACTCACTCTGACCAGACACTGGAAGCCCTGTGACTCCCTGACTAGACACATCAGATCATGGATTTACTTACCTGATGACAACAGCTTCCTGCAGCAGTCAGAGTGAGCATGCAGGGCTGCTAAATGTAAGGGGAACATGCTATGGATTCCACACCTGGGGGGAAACAGAGCAGCTCATGACAACAGATCTCAGGCTAGGTACATATAGAAGGACGAGCATCTTTCCAGTGGTTTCCTCAAGAAAACCGGATCCACAATGCTTCTTTTAGAAACTCTGAGAAAACAACTCTGCAACCCTTTCATTCAATACATATGTAGTCATTCTCTACCTCATAATAAAATATTGTATCTCCATAAAACTTAAAAGCCTAGAACAATAGAAATATATATTTAATTAATAAATCATTTTATTGGGGACTCTTCCAGCTCTTATAACGATCCATACACCAATTCTATCAAACACATTTGGACATCGGTTGCCATCATTTTCAAAACATTTTCTTTCTGCTTGAGCCCTTGATATTAGTTCCTCTTTTTTTTCCCTCCCTCCACTACCCTCCACTCACATGGACCCGATAAAATATAAATTATGATTTTCATATCTTATACCATCCACTGTCTCCCTTCACCCACATTTCTGTTGTTCAGCCCCCTTGGCGGGGGTGGGGGTGGGGGTGGGGGGGTGTTATACGTTGATCATTGTAGTTGGTTCCTAGTCGGTTCCCCATTTCTTCCCCTCCTCCCCACACCCTGATGGCATCACCCCCCCTATTACTGTTCCTGATGGGTTTATCTGTCCTGGATTCAGTGTGTCAAGAACACTTATCTGTACTAGTGTTCACGCTCTCGTCTAGCTGGATTTGTAAGATAGAACTGGGGTCATGATAGGGTGTGTGTGTGGGGGGAACCATTAAAGAACTAGAGGAATGTTGTACTTTATTGGTGCTATGCTGCACCCTGGCTGACTCTTTCCTTCATTTTGACCCTTCTGTGAGGCAATGTCCAAATGTCTACAGATGGGCTTTGAGTCTCCACTCTGATTGCCATCACTTGCATCGATATATTTGTTTGTTTGGGGCCTTTTGATCCCTGACACCTGATCCCGTTGACACCTTATGATCACACAGGCTGGTGTGCTTCTTCCATGTGGGTTTGTTGCTTCCCTGCTAGATGGCTGCTTATTTAACTTTAAGACCCCAGATGCCATATCTTGTGATAGCTGGACACCATCCACTCTCTTCACCACATTTGCTTAAGCATCTATTTTGTCTTTAGTGATAGTGTCAGGAAGGTATCAGAGTGCCAGGTTATTAGAACAAAGTGTTCTTGTGTTGAGGGAGTACTCGAGTAGCGACCCAATGCCCGTCTGCTACCTTAATACTCAACATTTAAATATATGTACATAGATCTATACCGCTATTCAGATATTTACTGGTATATATTTACATATGTGCATGCCTATATTTGTACCTCTATAAATGTCTTTTGCCACCTAGTTCTTTCCTCTATTTCTTTTTACTTTCCTCCTGTCCCACTATCATGTTCAACCTTCATTCAACTCTCAGTACTTTTTCTTGGCCACATTGCACTTGATGAAACCCCTCCAGACATTCTACACCCTCCTTACCATCAATTTTAGATCTCTTATTGTTCCCTTGTCCCTGGGTTTGTTGGCTACTGCCTCCCTTTCTCTGCTCTCCTCCTCTCCCATGTGCCCCACCTCCCCTGGAGCCATCAGCCCCATTATTTTCTCCTTTGGATTGGTTATCCTGCCTATCTGATATGGATATGAGAAAAAGAAAAAAGAAGGAAAAGGGGGTGAGGGGAAGCACCTATAAATAGTTCCAGGTGTGTCTGCCGACCCTTCTGGTTGTTTTCCAGTGGGATGTGGTGAAGGGCCCCACCCTGCCCACCGATTCTGAAATCTACTTCCGGGATTCCTCGGGGACTTCATTGCTTTGCTTCCCTTGCTGCTCTGTTGTGCTCCCTTC